ATACAGCGCCACCCCAGCCCTGTGCTGCCACCCCCAGCTTTGTCCCTTCCCAAACTGGCATCTCAACTGGATCAGGGACCAGCTAGAGGCATGTGTGTCCTGCGGCCCTCACAGGGCAGGCCATGGACTCAGGTACAAGTGGGCAGTGGCCAAGCCGAGTGTGCCCATGCCCCAACAGCCCTTTGAAGCGGGTATAGTGGTGGTTCCCATTTTATAGCTGTGAAAACTGAGGCTCAGGATGCCCAGCCGGCGTGGCTCAGTGATTAAGTGTCGACCTATGAACCCGGAGGTCACGGTTCGATTCCCAGTCAGGGCACATGCTTGGGTTGCGGGCTTAATCCCCAGTGTGGGGCGTGCAGGAGGCAGCCGATCAATGATTCTCTCTCATCATTGATGTTTCTCTCTCTCCCTCGCCCTTCCTCTCTAAAATCAATAAAAACCTTAAAACAAAAGAAAATACGGAGGCTCAGAGAGGGAAGGGACTGGCTCAAGGCTCTGCTCACTCATGCCCGCCTGTTCACGCACTCACCAATGCCCACCACACAGACGTCAGCCCGCACCACCTTGCTGCTCTTCAGCACGACCTCCTTCAGCTGTGGGGAGGAGGCGGGTGAGCAGGTGTGCCCAGCTCCCGGGCACAGGGAGCGGAGACAGAGAGCGGCCGGGGGCGGGGGAAGGCCCACCTTTCCCTCCTGGGCCCGCAGCTCCGACACCTCTGTCTGCATGTAGAACTTGACCCGGTTGTTCTCAAACATCTGTCAGGGCAGGTGGGCCATGGGCGGTAGGTGAGAGCCCGTCTGGGGCTGGGCTGGGTGCCCAGGGTCCTGAGGGGCTGGGGACCAGGGTGGGCTCACCTTCATGAGGGCACGACCTACACGCTCCCCCAGGAACCTCCTGAACGGTGTCTCCTCCAGCTCCACCACGGACACCGAGTGGGCCTTCTCCGTCAGATAGGCAGCCACCTCCATCCCTGGGCCGGGGTGGTAGGCAGCTGCTGGCACCCTGCACCTCCCAGGGCCGGCACTGCCTGGGGACCGGCCACCTCCGCCCCACTCTCCACAGCCGCTCACCTAGGAAACCGGCTCCCACGACCACTGTGTTGCGGCCCCGAGCCAGCCTCACCACGCGATTGGCATCCTCAGGCGTCCGGATGGTAAACACGTTCTCCACCTCTTTGCCTTTGCAGCTCAGGGTCTTAGGGCTGAGACACAGCCAGTGTCAGTGAGGGGCTCCAGCACCCCGAGCCCACCCATCCCGGCCGGTGCCCTGCCTGGTGTCCAGCCGGGGCCAGCAGGGCAGACACTCCCACCTGCTCCCGGGAGCCAGCAGAAGCTTGCTGTACTCCAGCTTGAAGCCGTCCTTGAACACGACCTTCTTGTTTCTCACGTCCACTGTGACCACCTGCAATCCCCCCGAGACAGAGCATGGACCTGGGCCCGGCCACCCTCTTCTGGCTCCTGCGGTACCCCCAGGGCCCGGCCAGTCCCTCTAAGCAGCTCCATGGGGGCTTTTCCTGCCACCTGGGTTGTCCTTCCTCCCTCACCTGGCAATTCCTCCTCACTCTTTTTATTTCTTTTTTTGTTAATCCTCACCCAAGGATTTTTTTGTGTTTTTTTTTTTAGAGAGAGAGAGCGTGGAAAGGAGGGTGAGAGACATAGAGACACATTGATGTGAGAGAAACACATTGATCGGTTGCCTTCCATACTCACGCCCTCCGGGGCGAGGGATTGAGCCTACAACCCAGGCACATGCTCTTGACTGGAACCTAACCCCTGACCCTTCAGTCCGAGGGCTGATGCTCTAACCATTGAGCAAACTGGCCAGGGCCCTCCTCACTCTTTAAGCTTCACCTTTCCCTCAAAGCCCGTCTTCTACTCCCAAGTCCCACCAGGTTCTTCCATCCCAGCCCTGAGCAAATCATCTATGTCCCCACACTGGGGACCTGGGCCATGTGTCCAGGACCCTACAAACAGGGGATCCAGGGCAGCCTCCCAGGCCCGGAGCACCCCCAGGTGCCTGCGCAGCAAGGCCAGGAGGGCAGAGCACACCCATACCTTTAGGAGCCTACACGACCTCACGCCCTTCAGGGCTGCCCAGCTTTGTCCCTACCTGAGCCTCCGTGAGCACCTCGATGCCATAGGCTCGGAAGAACTCCTTAGGCCTCAGGGCCAGCTGCTCAGGCTGGGCGTCCAGGGACTGTAGGAGAGAGCCAGCTTGAGACGGAGCCAAGCAGCCATCGTTCCATTTTGCAACAGAGGACCTGGGACCCGAGAGGGTGGAGCCAGCCCCAGGTCACACAGGGGGTGCAGGACAGAACTCAACAAACCCAGATCTTCAAACTCTGGGGCATGAGCAGAGGGCAGCTGGCTGGACCCCCCAATGGGCAGCAAGCAAAGCTCTGAGTGGGCCTGACTGCATCCAGAGGGATAGAACCCCCACTCACCCCACCCCACCCCACCCCACCTTGCTGAGCTTGGGCCGGTCATAGGGGAGGTGCCTGTCCAGCGTGCACAGGACGATCCTGTCTGAGAAGCCCTCCTGCCGCAGGGTCTCCGCACACACCAACCCGGCAGCACCTGAGGGGAGGGGGTTGCGGATCAGGGACCACCTCTCCCCCACCCCACCCTGCCTGTCATGATCCCAACACCAACCTGCGCCCACAATGAGCACGTTGGGCTGCCGCTGTGGCCAGCACTTGGAGAGATGCACTTGGCCATCACCTTGGTCCTTCGCTGCAGCTGCAAGGCCTGAGAGGGAGAGTTCACCAGAGAAGGGGGGCGCAGCTGGGAGCTGGGGTCATGGCCAACCTCCCTGCCACAATCCCAGCAGACCAGCCTCATCCCCGCCCTGCACCCTTCACTCTGCTCCCCGGCCACACTGACCAGACTCCCTCCCACCACAGGGCTTTGCACAAGCTGCTCCCTGAGCCCAGATGCCCACCTCGGGCTCTCCCTCTTACCTGAGCCCAAGCCACACCCTTACCTGCTTGCTGGCCCGGACGTACACCTTCTCCTTCTCAATCTTCACCTGCAAGTGGAGGGGCTCAGAACCAGGCTTTGGGTGCTTCCGTCCCTGACCCTGTTCCCCTCGGCTCCTACCCACCGCACACCCAGCCCCACCTGGAACTTGTGCAGACTGTCCAGGCCAGGGAAGTCCTCCAGGTCCCCGGTGCTGATGTTGAAGCAGGCGCCATGCCAGGGGCAGCGCACCCGGCCCCGGGACAGCACGCCTGGGAGGAGGCAGTACCGAGCTGGGGCCGCCTGCAGGAGCCTCTCTCCAAGGTCTCCTGTGTCCCAGCACCTGCTGGCCCTTCCACACAGCCCCAGAGACCCCGCCAGGAGGTGAGGAACTGGAGGCCCAGGGAGGAGCCAAGCTGGGCTGGGCCTGGTGGCGCTGGGGCTTAACGGTGCAGTGGCCACGCCCACTTCAGGAGACCCGGACAACTCACCTTTCACCAGGGGTGCACCGTAATGCGGACACTTGTGGCCCAGGGCATGGAACTCCCCGTTGTCCTTCACCAGCAACACCTTCCCCCAGCCCAGCTCCACTTCCCGCATCCTGGGGAGGGGCTGCGCTCAGAATTCAGGCCAGGTGTGAGGCAGCACCTCCTCCCAGAGTCCAGCCTTCTGGGGAGCAGGCCCAGACCAGCAGAAGCCACAAGGCTGTGGCCAGGCTGGGAGCTAGCCTTGGGCCCCGCCAGGCCGCCCCATCCACCTTACCTAGGGCTTGTATTTGCCCTCCCACCTGGGGCCCTCTGACCCCTGTACCAGGCCCAGCACCCACTGGCCATTCTCGAGGTCCTTGACATGGCAGACAGCGGCCTCCACGCAGTCCTGAGCACCGGGGTAGGGGTGCGGGGCAGGCAGACGCTCCTCCGAGTGGAAGTGGCGGGCAGTGCCGTTGCCCTGGTAGGCCCGGGGGCTGCCCTTCCCGCTGGCTGACAGCTCCTCCTTGCCCCGCTCCTTCTCAGGCAGCACCACCTCGATCTTGAGCTCCACTGTGGGGGGGTAGGGGGCCTGGTGAGCCCCCCGCCCGCCCACCTCCTCACCCACTCCACCAGCAAGGAGCCTTACAGTAGGCACGAAGCAGGGCAGGGGCAGCAGGGTGGGCGCTGGGTGGGCCTGAACTGATCTCTGCGTGATTTTTTTTTCAATAACAACATTAGTGAGAGGGGCACAAAGAAAACGCCTTCCACCCTGACATGACCCTTTCTCCAGGAATCTGTGTGGAGGAAAAGCCCTGGTGCCCTGAATCTTGCTCTGACTCCCAAGACAGTTCCCAATGGAGGACAATAACATCCCTGAGGTATATAAGGGGCAGGTTTAGGGTCTGACTCAAGTGAGAACAGGGCATCCCAAATTCGTGTAGCTCAGGTCCCGGCCCGTGAATCTGAGCAACGGGAAATTGAGGGTTCATTGTTCTAGGCTTGCAACTTCCCCATAGGTTTGAATTTTTTTTTCCAAAATTCAGAAAAAGTGTACACGACATAAATTCAACTTTTAAAAATAGCTATTCTCGCCAGTTTGAGAGAATCCTTCAGCATTGACCAAGCCCTGGTTTTTCAGTATCTTCACGTGCAGGGGTCTGGGGCCTCGGGGGTGCATGTGGACAGAGCAGAGAGGGCACAGCGCCCCCCACACACCCACACACACCAGCCTCAACACAGAAGATACTTCCACAGCCTGCCCATGGGGCCAACTCTAGGGGAGAGTTGCCAGAGACTGTCATTTTCTTTATACTTTTCTGCATTTTCTAAATTCCCCACAATGTGCCTGGGGTATTTTTCCAATTAGAAGGGAACAATAAACAGAATTTTGAGCAGTGATAATCCGGCCTCCTGGGCGGCTGCTGCAGGGAGGGAGGCTGAGTGAAAGCTAAGCCCCTGGCACAGCGTGGGCCAATGAGGGCGCAGAAGGTTCCTCTCCCAACTCCCAAGGCACCAGAGCTTCCAGGCATCTCTCGGCTTCACCTCTCATCCTCTCCACACCCTCAAGCCTGACACTCCAGAAGCAAAGAACCCAGAGTCACGCCTCCCAGCCTTTGCCTATGCAATTCCCTTGGCCCATGGCCCTGGCTAACTCCTGCCCATCCACCTAGACACACAGCTCAGATGTTGCCTCCCCTGGCTGCCCAGCCCCCTGCCTGTCCCTCATCTCATGCTGTGCTAATCCCCTACCATGGCCTGGCCTGGGAGGCTGGAGGGCAGCCCCCCATCCTCAAGTTCCAGCCCCCAGCTGGAGTGAAGGTCCACTCTAGGATTCCAGCCGGGCAGGAGGGGCACCTGGGCACACCACATGCTGAAGCTGTTGTGTCAGGTGGGGGTGGTTGTGGGTGGAGTGGGCTTTCCCTCCGTCTTCCACACTTTATGTAATAGTGTTAGAATGTTTTCAGAAGAATTAAAGAGAAAAATACTTTGAACCCAGCTGACACCAGCTGTGTGAGCTTTAGAGAGGGAGCTCACAAGAGCAGCTTGGCAAGGGCCCAATAAGAGCCCAGCCAGGCTGTTTTCATCCTCCACCTCCTTCCGGAGGCGCTGCCTGGAGCCATCTAACTGAAAGCCATTAAGGCAGGAGCAGTGGTGGAAAGGGGAGGAGCGTCTCTGTTCACTCAAGAGCCAAAGCAACCCCAACTCCATGGTTCCCAGCTGCCCACTGGTGAGTGGATTCTGAAGGAGATAACATATGCAATATGTAAACCAGAGCAGAAGCTCAACAGATGCACCTGGGTAATAGTGGTTTATTGGCTAGCTTCGAGCTTCCTGGCAGCTGTGAAGAAAAGGGAAAGCCTTTCTGTAGCACTTGTGGCCGAATAAAAGGCAGGTGACCAGATACCAAGAGAGGTGCACTTCCTTCTAGTTCTGAGCTTAGCAGGAGTCTGGCCTGGAATGCGTCCTATAAGGAACACAGTGCTACTGAAGCATGGGGAGGAAGGAATGTGTGCTGATGTGCCCTGAGCAAGGTAGAAAGTGAAGAATGTGCACAGAGATATACTTATCTGATTTCCCTGCGGTCCCTTCTGATCTTCGGCTAAACCCTCATGGCCAAATGCTCTCACTCCCACACTCTGAAATTCCCTGAGTCTCATCCCTGATTGGCCCAGGGTATGTGCCTGGGGCCTGAGCTCCTGCCTTCCCGCCATAGCCCCACAGGGGAGTCCTGGCTGCAGCCAGTCTAGCCCCAAAAGAGGACAGAAGAACGTTTTGCAAGTGCTGCCTGTGTGCCAGACCCTGTGCTAAGCGCAAGAGCCTGCAGAGGGTGCAGAATTATCAGCCCATTTTCCAGGTGAGAACACAAAGACTCGGAGAAGCGAAGTCATCTGCCCAGGACCACACACTCAGGAAGGGAGGCTGGATTTGGACTCAAGAGGCCCAGTTCTCAGCACTGTGTCTGGTGTGGTACGTGTGACCAGCTCCTATATTAGGAATCCTGGGCCCAGGGGTCCCAGTCAGGCCAGCCTCTGTGTTTCTTTAAAGGAAACAACAGGTGGCATCTTCTGCCCAGGGCCTCCTGCCAGGGCCAGCCAGCATCCTCCCGCCCGACTCTGATGGGGGAAGGCTGAGGTCAAGACAATGGACATCATTTACCAAGGAGGCAGGTAGGGTGGTGGGACCTGAGTGTCCACAGCACAGGAGTGAGGGGAGGGCAGGTGTGGGCGGGTCCCTCTGCCTGGCAGGGCGTCACACATCTCCTCTGGCCCCAAGTTCCCCTCAGACCCAGGAGAAGGAGAAAAGGCTCAGGCGTTCCAAGGTAATGGAGCCGATGGGTATCAGGTAAGGGGAGATGGGGTGAGCCATCCTGGGCAGCGTGGCCTGGACAGGGTGGGCGGGGCACTGCCTAGGTGCTAGGGAGGCCTCTTGGCCTCAGTTTCTCCCTCTGTGGCATGCCTGCGCCCCTGCCTTCCTGGGTGTTGTGAGGATAAAGGAGGGGAAGTGGGGCCCGAGGGAGAGCCCAGCAGAGAAGAGTCTCCATCAGAGAGCACACCCAGGTCTTCCCAGCACCCTGGGCGGAAACTCCTTGCGCCAGGCCGGGTGGGGATTTCCTGCACGAATGGGAAAGTGTGCCCCGAAAGCCTGAGAAAGTGGCCCAAGGTCACACAGGGGTCGGGAGAGGTGAAGAGGGCTGGGATCTGTCCACTCGGCTCTCACAGCAACTCTGAGAGGTCAGGTTCATTTTGCAGGGAGGGAAAGTGGGGCTCAGAGAGGTCATGTGCAGACCCCGGGCCCCACAGGGGCTGAGGACGCCTGTCCCCAGAGCCCCGTTCCCTGGCCCTGGGGGACACAGCCTCCCTTCCCCACCCTGTGGCAGGAGGAACCCTGCCCCCCCACCCCTTTCCAAGAAAGAATCAGTTGTTATCCCTACCACCAGCACCCAGAGCCCAAAAATAAAGAGGAAGGGTCACTGGAGGGGGGCCAGAAGTATGGCTCCAGGCCCCCCACCCCCTCCCGCCTGCAGCGCATTAACATTCGGCTGCCACCCAGCCTGACCTACTTCTGAGGCAGAGAGGGAGGGGGAGGAGGAAGGTGGCAGGGAGGAGGGAGGAGAGATGGAGAGGGGAAAGAAGGAGGGTAGAAGGTGGACGGAGGGGGTAAGCAAGAAGAGAGGAGGTACCTGGCTTGGGCTTGGAGAAGCAGCCGCCCATGGCGAGTGGCCCTCAAATGGGCAGGGGGCAGGTGCACAGACGGTGGGCTGTGGGAGGCTAGGGTGCCCCCAGCAGGGCTGGACCCCCCACGGCCCTTAGAAATGCTGATGTTGCCATCCCAACTGGAGTTGCCTTCAGGACCTGTAGGGGTAGAGAGAGGAGCATCTGTAGGGATCGGGGCTTAGATGGGGATGTGAGTAGAGACGCAGAGAGATAGACTCTGTGGGGAGGGGCTCCTAGAAGAGGCCCACATTGGAGCTGGGAAATGTTTCAAATAGGGGAGCCAGACCCCAGAGGAACAATGGGGCCCTGGAGGGCACCTCCCCTGTGAGGCCCTCCAGGCTCAGCACCCTCACTCCCCACTCCCACCTTTGCCTGGGCTGTGCCCGCTGCCAGAGGAGTCTGCCAGGCTTGTAAGTCCAGCCCCACAGCGGCCTTGTCCAGGAACTCCCCTGTTTCTGCTGCCCCCTCAAAATCTGGCAGCCTGGGAGCCCTGCAACCCTCCTTTCTCTAGGGAGGCCACCATGGCTGGGGTCAAACACGAGATCCCCTTGGGCAGACGAGAGCCTTCCTGGTCCTCTTCCCACAAGGGGATGACAGTCAGTGCTCCCTGATCCCTGCACCCCCCTCGATGCCAGGCTCTGGATACCCACCTCCTTTAAGGGCAGCCACTGCTTCTTGCGCCCAGCCCAGAAGTAGACCCAGGCTGCCAGGCCCTGGAAGCCAGGCAAGGGGTCCAGGAGGCAGCCCAGCCTCTACCCCTCCTCCCAGTGGGAGCTGCTGCCAGGAGGGGCTGGGGGTGGGGGGGCTGGGCCAGTCCACTGGTCCCCAGGGAAACCCAGCTCCATGGTGAACAGAAGTGGGCGGCAAGCCCGGGCACACAGTCCTGCCACAGACTGTGCTCGGCAGCCATGAGCTCCCACCCCCACCTTCACTCTTCACAAATGCCCACCAGGCCCACGACACTGAGGTCATGCCCAAGAGCAGATGGATAAACGGAGGAGCCAAGGGCTCGCCAAAGTCAAGCAGCAGGTAGGAAGGAGCATCTGGGTGGCCTCCCATCCCCCTCCCACCTTAGTTCCAAGATGGGCAGGGACCCAAGAAGCCAACAGATCACCTTGCAAGTCACAGAGCCGGGGGAGGGGTCACCAGGTCAACCAAGAGATTCCTGCAGCCAAGGCCACAGTCAGCCCATTTGCTTTCCCTGGAAGTTCCTCCTACAGTCTAACTTGAGGTGCAGCTGAAGCCTACTAGGTCTCGCCCAGATCCCAGCAAGGACCCTGGGAAAAGGTTGGGGAAGGACCACCTACTGCCTGGCACCTGATCTTACCTGCCCTAGTGGCACTCCTTACAGTCCAGGAGGCAGTGGCACCCGAAGGCCGCCTGGGCACACCCATGCTCTTTCCCCCACTCATCACCAAGGCAGGTTTGCAAAGTGTGGCCACCACCTGCACTGCCTGCACCCACCCTGGTCTCCCCAGGTCCTGGCTTCACCTCTAGCTCAGCCCTGCCCACCTCCTTCCTGCTGGACCACAGATCCCAGAAAAGGTGGGACCTCACCTGGACACTGGGTGCCTGGCTGGGCTGTTCCCTCCCTTCCCAGGGGCTCAGGTGTCTGGACCCCCCAAAGCCTTGGGCCTGGAAGCAGACTTGCTGGGGCTGGAACCTTCTCCAGGCTACTCCAGGGCTACTGTGTGCTAAGCCGGCTTGGCGTCCTCCTGCTTCCTGCAGGCCCAGACACCTGCACTCAAAGGCACAAGTCCTTGCCAGGGACGGGGCAGGAGGGAACCCCAAGTTTTTTTGTTTTTAAATCCTCACCTGAGGATATGTCTTTTTTTATTGATTATTTGAGAGGAGAGAGAGAGAGAGAGAGAGAGAGAGAGAGAGAGAGAGAGAGAGGATTATCAATGTGTGAGAGAAATCACCCATGGGTTGCCTCCTGTATGCCCTCTGACCGAGGATGGAACCCCGAAACTTGCGTATATACCTGACCAGGAATCGAAACCAAGACCCTTCCTGCGCAGGACACTCCCACCACCTTAGCCACACCAGCCAGCGTGGGACCCCAAGCTTTTGCGGGGTGCTGTCTGTCTCTTGCCCACAAGCTGCCCAATGCAAAAAAGATTGTAACAGTTGCCTGTATGGTCCACTAGGGGCCTGTGTCCTGTCCCAGAACTCCCTCCCAGGCCCCCCGCTAGTGCAGGCTGGAGAGGATCGCCCCCTCCTCTGCACTGCCCCCTTCTTTCCCCTGGGTCCCACTCTTCCCCAAGGGTCACAGGGGCCCTTCCCATACCCACCCCGGGAGGCTCCTGCCCCCGCTCAGGCCCTCGGTGGCTTCCAGCCTTCCTCCCGATGGCCTCCAAGCTCCTCACCTCCCCCCCCCCCCCCCCTCACTGGGCTCAAGCACAGCCCCTTCTGTGCACTCTCCCTGCCTCTGCACGTGCAGTCCGGCCACCTGAGATGCACTTTCAGGCAGCCTTCACGCGTCGTCCCGGTCGCCCCACCAGACCGGGTGGCCCAGGAACGGAGGAGATGCCACACAGTAGGTCGCGCGGCCAGCGGGAGGGCG